GGGCATCCCGCCCGGGAGCATCCTTCTGAACCCGCACACAGGTGAGCGCGCCGCCTCCGCCCTGGCGGGCTCGGGGCCAGCGGGCGCCCTCGTGCTCGGCCTCAGGGTTCTAGCAGCGAGTCTTTTTGAAAATCGTTGGGCAGGAGAACAGGCGCGTGGACCTGCGCGAAGGATCTTGGTTTAGGACGAGCGGGTCTGCTGCCGTCACCTCCATCCGTATTGATCCCAGTATTGAGACAGGCATATAGACAGATTCTTCCCCGAAATGCCCACTGTTCTCTCCTCATTGACCACAGTGTTTCTCGTGTATTCCCAGGAACTAAGCCCCGAGATCAGGGAGCCATGAACTGGGACGTGCTAATGAAACTTTGTGTTTCTCAGAGCAAATCCGTGCATAGCCTATTATGGCGTTAGTGGTGTTTCTGCATCCAGAATATTTCAGGAACTTGAGCTATTAATTGGGACACGTGGGGGACTCTTCACTATAGAAGATGCTTCTGACCTTGCCATGTCCCCCATTCCTCCTAGAAAATGAGGAATAGCAACGGTGAAGAGGAGACGGGCAGCGAATTTCTATGGATTTTAGAGATTTTTAGGCCTACACTGGTTTTGGTGGGGGTTGGAAAACTGGTAACTTCATGATTATAGTTTCTTCAAAGGTGAATGGCTATTGGTTCTTAAATATTCAGTTTCTCTAGTGTCCAGTTAACTTCCACACTGGTTCCAAAGGACCCAGAGCATTGAGCCAATAGACTAAGGAACATCTGCTCCACGGGGGTGACCTCCCAGGCTGGGCAATGTCGCCTGTGCCTCCAAGGCCAGTTGGCAATATCTGCAGACATTTTGATTATCATGACCCAGGGAGGAGGGGACCGCTGCTGGCATCTAAGAAGGTAGAGGCCAGAGATGCTACTAAAACATCCTACAGTGCACAGGTCAGCTCCTTACAGATACAGGATTATGCAGCCCAAAATGTCAGCAGTGCTGTGGTTGAGAAACCCTGGGTTGGAAGGTTTGACATTGACTGGCCATCTCCTTAGAAGCCTTTATAATGCTTGAATTGTCTCAACATATATCCAAAGTTTGGTTTGGGTTACTGCAGAGTATTTCTTTGATGAGCTAAACTTGAAAATGCAAAACCGGATGTGAACCTCGTAAAAATGATCCAACTCCATCTTCTCACATATATAGTGCTACTAGTAATTAGGAAATTCAGAGAAACATGAGAATGATAGTAAAATAGTTACTTGAATAATTGCCACATTTTCATGAAAACATATGGCACATTCTCAAGGCATGGTGTTTGATTGAGACATTTTGAAAATGCCATCAGCTTCAGGGAAAAGAAGGCATAATCATTTTATTGCAAACCATCTGAAAGCTTTCTGATTAAGACACTTCTAAGGAGAATATTACATGGCTTTTCTTATATTTGGATCATTGTAAGCACTATCAACGAAATTAAAAGAAAAACCAGAATCATACTAATTACTCTGGGCGCTGATCGGAGGACGGTCTGACTCTGTCGGCTTAAGTTCTTTCATTTTCCATTGCGAGGGGGGCTTGCAGACAGGGGCACAGAACTAAGCGTTAGTTTTCAGTGCTTTGTTTTCAGCGAAATTGCAGAGTGTTTCCAAAAAAGCACAACAGAGTCTTTTCTGGGTATAATGCAAGAATATTATTTGTAATGACAGTGTGGCTGTGCATGTGTATGTGTCTATTATCATCTGTAATCTTGTTTACAGAAGAGGAAAGAAAGCGCTTTCTGGTGCCAAGTCCCAATTCTTATTCATTGGACAGAGTCATTTAGAGCTGTTGTCAAAATATCTGCTTTCAGAAGGGATCCTAAGGAAGGGACAGGATCTGATAACGCCGCTGAACAGCGTTGTCATACACAATTCTCTGATCTGACAAATGCTGGACATTCACATATCCCTAGACCAGAAGGAGAGTGTATTAATAAATTGTGTGCTGTGGTTGAGTGGTGAGATACAAGGGGAACTATGATGTTTCTTCTTTTACAGAATGTGTTTATTTTTATGAGTTGAAACTATGCACATACATGTACGTATATGTGTGTGTTGGGGTATGTATATGTGCATGTCTGTCTGTCTATCTAATCTCGATCGGGACTCTACTATTGAAACTGGAAATCTGCCTGCTTCGGGCTGGAGCTCCTCTTTCTCTGTCATTGCTGTCAGCTGAAGTCCGCATGTCTCCTCATCTGCCAGACACATGGTGGAAGCGAAGTGCTGTTAGGAACCAAGAGCATAGGACTGCTTTGCTTCTTGTGACAATTTTTCTTGGGTTCATTTTCTTGTGACCAGCGCATTTATAAGCTCCTGTGAGACGGGATCATACTTGGCTATGTTTTTACTTCCCTAGAGTGGATAATTATCAACTACCCATATATTTATATATATGTATGTAAATATATATGGATAGGGAGTTTTTCACCTAGTGTCTTATATTTGAAAATGTGGCTCATGTATAAAATTAGGGTGGATAAATATCTGTCTTAAGCAGGGATAAGACAAGCAATGATTTGAAAATAGGAAGGCGCCTGCCTGTCATGTCTACTAAGTGAAACAAAAATGAAACTTCCTTCGTCAACACAACTGGCATGGCTCTCGCTAAATACTAAATATTTGGACAAATATTCTTGCAGTTCCCCAAATCCAGCCACCACTTTTTATTTTGTCTGGCCCTAGACCCAGCGCTCAGCTGGCCTCTCCCTGGCTCAGGACCTTTGCCCTGCTCTTCCTTTGCTTTCCGGGCATCGGGGTGAGGGGGTTGCTGTGGAGGCTCTTTTTCCAAAAGTTCTCGTGTTACGTCTTTCATCTTTGCAAGGTGAGCCTGGCCTGAGTCTTGACACTGATCTTTCTCCAACTGTCTTGGACTCAGCCTCCTTTTGGAAATTTCTAGCAGAAGCTCATCTTTGCTTGGCTATTTTCTTTCAACTTGGTGCTATCCAGAGATGCCAACAGCCTTTGGCATCCCCCAAGTCCTCGTTAATGCCCCTGTATGTTGTCCTTCCATTTTGCTTTGCCTTCGTCGGCTGCAAATTCATGAGTGTGGGATGAGGGCAGCCTTCAGGGACTGCACTGGGAGCGGCCCTGCAGTCCTGGCCTCTTTGAAATGCTCCTGATGGGCTTCCGTGACCCTACACTTCTTTATAAGTCACAAGACTTCTAGCATCTGTTTATCCAGACTGCTTCCACCTTTGTCTCAAATGCCCTAGGAAGTTTCTGTGTGCTATCTTTAAACATATCTTTGCAAGATCTGAATTAATCCTTGCCTATGCCTAAGTGCCAGCTCCCTTATAACTTGATGGATTGCCTTCTAAATCCTAGGAAAGGACAATCTCTTTCTCCCACCCCCTTCCTATCTTTTAAAATAAATAACCTTCTGCCAAGTACATGACAGTCATGCCTCAGTGTTAGGAGCCAAAAGCATGTGACTACTTTGCTTCCTGTGTCCATTGCCCCTGGGTTCATTTCCTTGTTACCAACACATTTATAAGCTCTTTCTGGGGAGGGGTCATACTTGGTTGCGTTTTTGTTTTTGTTTTGCATCCTGGAATGGATAACAAAGTTTTAGTCACTGTGCAGGTGATCAATAATTATATATTAGTAAATGAATATCTATTACACATTATACATGTTGCTGTGGAGAGGGGAGAAACTTCTCACCTAATGGCATGTATCGGAGAGGAATGAGCACTCTGCATTGAGTCCTTTCCCCGGTCCTGGCTCAGCGCACAGCACTGGCTCACCCCTGTAACTGCACTCGCTGTACCTGTGCCAGCACACATGCCAGGGCCTGCTGGGCACGCCAGTGTAGGTCCTGACATGAAAACCTCTTCTAGGCTGAAAGTCCCAGGGCCAGCTAGTTTTCCTGTCCCCTTTGGTCTTCAGCAGCTGTCATTCAAACAAATTGCTTATATTCAGCAGTCATTGCATCTGGATGGGTGGAAATGGTAGAATGCAGAGAGGTGATCATTGCCCGACTTGAAAACCGTAGTCGCCCATCCTTGATCTCTGAGGAAATGTTTGTTCTCTTTCCACCTTACCTCTTCCATGTTCCTCTGTCATTTTTACTTCTCCTTGGTGAGCATTAAGTCAGTCTTCTATGCTTTCTTCTCCTTCCAGAAGAACCTGCCACCGCTCTCTACCCAAGCGAATTCTTAGTACTTTTACTATGTAATTACTTAGGACCATTTCTTTCTTCTGGTCCACGGCATATTGATGATATTTCAAACGGGATCTAAAATTTGTCAAAAAGAACACCTGACTATTTCACAGTTGTTTTTCACCCTAATTATGGTCAGCATTTCACTTCTCCCTGGGCTGTTGAAAGTCATATAAACTAGAATAGATTCTTTCTTTTACTTTGCCATCTTTGTGTATATGTTTGTGTGTTTGTGTATTTGTGTGAGCACATAGTGAGACTAATTTTAAAATGATTTCATATAAAGTTGCTGTGAAGATTTTTTAAATGTTAGGTATCCAAATTTCCCCTTTTAAAGATATGAACAAATAGGGGTTGCTAAGGATTAGAACACTAAATGGGATGATAGATTTTTGAAAATTGACCTATTTTTTCATCTTTTCCCAAATTGCTGAGGGGTTTTGGAGGGAAAAGGGTTGCAGATGTAAAATCCAGAAGAAAGCTATTTTTTGAAAGAGGGGAAAAAATGCAAAACAATGAAATGTAGATAAAATTAAATGATAATGACAGGGAAACAAATGTCCATGAGGAACATTAGGAACAAGTGCCATTCAACTTAGTCACTGTTCTGTGGCTGTAACTCCGGCACGTTGGCTTCCATCACAGCATTTGTAATTGGTTGTGGGGCTGTTCCCAGAACTTCCTGAGTTCTGGCAGGTGTGTTCATGGAAACGCAGCCTTTAAGGCTCTTGGGCTGACGTTTTCTGGTAATAACGGGGAGTGCTAAGCTCCCATTATGGTTCCTGACTGAGCTGAGTGAGGTCAAGTCCATTGCTCTTTACCTGTGAGAAATTTGTTTGGCTTCCCCACGATACCAGCATTTGCCTCCCCGACCCATCCCAGTTCACTTTCTTAATGTCCTTTGTAAAGGGCATAGGTGACGTGCATGATCCGCACACGTCCGACATGTAGCCTTGGGAAATATTTGCATACGTGAGCAGCTGTGTAAGCATCACCCAGAGTAAGACACGGAGTGTGTCTAGTCTCCCGGGAGCTTCCCTCACGTCCCCTTAGAGGCACCACTATTCGGAGTCCTGTTGCGTTGGCAAGTGTTGCCTGATCTTGAATGCGGTGGAATTGGAATTCTACAGTCGCTGCTGTTTTGGGACTGGTTTCTTTCACTTAGCAAACATCGGCTAATTAGCCGAGCTCCCATTTGAGAACAGTTTGTTCTTTGTTGTTAAATAGCATACAACTTTTTTTCACTGGAGTAACGTTTCCTTTGGGTGAGTTTTTATGTCTTCCCTCTCCTGTTTCGTTGCTGCTGCTGTTGTTAATTTTCCTCACGTTGCTGGTGATCTTTGGTTGTACATTATGAAAGCACAAGGCAGATTTCCTCGGCCATCACGTGTCCCCTACCTGGATGAGACGCTCACGGGAGCCCCGCCCACCGAGCAGTGCAGGGAGAGGCTTTAGAATAGTGCTCAGGAGGAACTCAGCAAGCTGCCTCTGCCTCTCCTGTGAGACACCAGCCTCGTTTGGGGGAGTTCCTCTCCTCCTCACGGGCATTTAGCTCAGGTTCCTAGAGAATATTTTTGTGCCTTCAGTTTAGGGACAGACATACCTCCTGCTCCCTTTCCCGTAGGGATGTGGGGGGTATAGAAAAGGGAAGAAAGGACTCACACACAGTTTGCCAATCCAGTGCCCCAGATTCTGATCCTGCTCTCTCTGTATCTACCAGTCCTGGGCGTGAGTCCACCTTGACTCATGCCCCCACCTCTCGTGCATTGATTAAGACTTTCCAGTGATGGTTGGATTTTTTCATGGTACCAGGTGCTCATTCTGTAGACTTTGGTGGCTTACTTCAGTTCTTGGGTGTAATGGGAAATGAATAGGCCTCAGAGTCCTACTGACCAGGGTCACTTCCCGGTTCTCTCACTATTTTTTGTCTTTCTGAATAAGTTGCTTGCTCCCTCTGAGGCCTCATTTTCTCGTCTCCAAAGTTGGGTGAGATTGCACATCTGTGGGTTGTTGGAAGAGCTAAGATCATGCATGTCAGGTGCCTGTCACTGTACCTGCCACACTGGAAACCTGTTAGTTCTCTCCTTTAGCTTCCTTTCCTCCCCCTTGTCTCTCTCATTTGCTGTCCCAGACTCTCTTCCCTTCAGATGCTTATACCTGTAACTTTTCTGGTGGGCTTTCATTTCCTCTCCTGAGACATCGGGAGGTGACACTTTCCTTCCTCACAGAGCCATGACAAGGCTCCAATAATACTATTTTGTAAACTCTAAAACACTGCCCAAAGAAATAGTAATAAAAACCTGAACCATGCCATTATTTCACAAGGCAAATGACCGCATTTCCTTGACCATTATAAGATGGTCCCATGATCAGTTTATTATGCATGACCTTCAAAATCTAACCCCCATGTACCCCAGCGTGTGTCCAGGCAGAGAAGCAAGTGGATGGATGTGGTATGTTTTGTTGTGTGTGTCTATAGGTATTTGTGAAAGTGACAATGATACTGAATTGGTGACAAGGCTAAGGGAAGCTAAGCAAATGTATTGGTAAATATCGTACAGCCAAACGTAGCTGGAATTGTGCGCAAGGAAAGCAGCCCCTCCCAGTGTGCCTGGTCCCGCCGACGGGAGGCACAGGGCCGCAAACACAGGGCTTCGTGAAGATTGCTTCTCCGCGGGGCGCCGCCACACAGGGGCGCCGGGCTTTGGCAAGCCTCCCTGGAGGCGGGGGGTTTATTGCTGCTCCTGAAATTGCTCTGGCCTTACATCATTACCTGGGCTAACTGGGTGGCTCAGAAGCAGCCACGTCTTCACGTGGTGAAGGCTCGTGTCCCAGGTTCCCACTGCCCTGCCTCTTTACCTGAGGTTGCTTTTTAAAAATATATCTTTTTTTATTGATTTCAGAGAGGGGAAAGGAGGGAGAGAGAAACAGAAACATCAATGATGAGAGAGGAAACATCGACCGGCTGCCTCCTGCCCGCCCCCTCCTGGGGATCAAACGCACAACCGGGCCATGCGCCCTGGCCAGGAGTCGAACCGGTGGCCTCCCGGTGCATGAGACGACACTCAACAACTGAGCCACGCCGGCCAGGCTAGGTGGCTTTTGAAGTATCCAGAGTGGTTCTTGCTGGCGAAGGAGAGCTGGGAGGCCCACCTGGACCGAGCTCCAATTCCGTTGCAGGCCAGCCCTTTGTGAATCCCGACGGAAGCCCC